TCCGAATTCAGTGGACCCGCGCACCAGTGAACCACTGAATTCGGACTGCCGTCAGAATTCCGGTCTGTATAGCGCTCTACAGGTGGAGTTCTCTGTTACAAGAAGATTTCGGAGCGTCAAATCGAACACGTGTAAGCTGCTAAATATAGGACCAGCGGCTACTGACACGAGCGCGCATGGATCGCCTTGAACAACGCCTGCTTGGCACTTTGGCTCTAAGGCATATGACGTAAACAGCAAGAAGAAATTTAATCGGGAGAGGTGCCGTTATAACACCTTGCGAAAAAGTCGGACAGAGGCTCAAGGATAAGAACAAAAATTTTAACACATTCCGGACCGCGTGACACACATGGTGTGTCACGATCTTCAGAAGCTAAAATTTTCCTATGTTTTGACTGTTGCGCAAATTCTTTGAGTTGTTATATATCCCTATAGGGGTACGAATTCCTGCATATGGTTGGGCCATGAAAAGCTCTGATAGTTTATTTGTAAAACGTTTTCTACAAGTTTAGCCATTTCATAAAACCATCATGCCCTAGAAATGCATCGCACCCAGAACGAATTTGCTGATAGACTGATCTTCTGAGGCCATTCGCCGTCCGATCGTGATTATGACACAACTCTTATAGCGTAACGGATAGCACACTCGCCCGGAAAGCGTGAGGTGCGGGTTCGACTCCTGGGGGTCGACTTTGGCCCATAACTCAGCATTCTTGTGGTAACACTCTTATAGCGTCCGCTCCATTTGGCGCCAGTGGGCGCCAGTTTGGAGCTACGGCCTTTTCACAAAGTACAGCTCGAAAAAACGTGCATTTGCGGGGTAATAAAGGATCCCGATTTCAAAAAGAGACATACGTTCTCGAAGCTGGCGCCATTTGGCGCAGTTTGGCGCCAGTTTGGCGTTATGACATCTTTCACCGAAATCGATATAAATATGCATTCGGAGGTTAGCGAGGTCTCTAGTTACAGATATCTTCAACGGTGACGCCACGCGACGCCACAGGGCGCCATTTTAGCGCTATGACATTCTTCAACAAAAACGATGTGAGGTTACGAACCAGGATAATTGCATACATAATATTCGTGTTTCGTTCCGATGAAATTAGATGAGGATGTGTTCATACTTTGCAGCGGAGAATCAGCGGAATCGGCGTTCCGGAAAAATGCCCTCTTGATAGCTGGCCATCGATCGGAACCGGTTGTCAGGGCTCAGATGAAAAATGAATGTCATATTCGAGATCGCGATCCCTGAGTACCCCCGAATGCAAAGTTACATCAATTTCGCTAAATACGATCGTGGCGCCAAATTGGCTCCCGCTGGCGCCAAATGGCGCCGGCGCTAAAAATGATTGTCATATTCGTGATTGGGATGTGAAATAACCCCTACGTAAAGTTTCCAGAGTGAAATAATCAGTGAGAAAAGATTGCGACTGAAACTTGTCCCGTGTGGCCGCGTGACACACCATGTGTGTCACGCCAGCTCAGAAAAAAGGCCGCGGGCACACGTGAATGCCACGGGAAGTAAATGTCGGTCCTGCGAAACTGTGTGTAAAGCACCAATAATCATTCTGTTCCTGAGGCATAAAGATTGGGGTAGTTCTCGCACTCACCGACTCAGAATTGGGAGTAACATTATCATAACTGTATTACATTGATAACAGTTGGTCTGCGACGTGCAATGTCGCAAGTGCTAAAGGGAAGAGGTTTACTGGCTGACAGGTCTCTAGGCAATGGAACTGAAAACAGAAGTTGTACTGGGTTCAGTCAAGTCCACTTGGCGGGTAGTAATGCGGAACAGAAGGACAGCGCACTCAAGATACGCTTGCCTTACTGCCCACATTGATAACTACCCATGGCACCGGATGGATAAAGATGAGCAGCAGAAAAATGCAAGAAGGCATAGACGATAGCTGCGCGAAGAAATGGGGAGACGAGACACGATTGCAATGGAGGTGAGAAAGCGCGCGAAAGGGCATTATCACAGTGACACGGTAATGGTGAGGCCGGGCTGCGGGCTGATTGGCCCAATGCTGGGCCCCTAATTCGTTCAGTTATACCTCGTGCTGATTGGCCAGATTTGATGTTCCGGGGTGTTGAAAGTAAAACCTCACGCAATTTCAGGCCGGCAGCCTAGTTTTATGTATTGTGATACCCTAGCGTTGGAATTGGACAGATTTGAGGACAACAGCAATGTCATGTATGGGTTGAAATTCGCGAATAAGTTCGGATCCACCCGCTTAGTTTGGGCTCGTTGAACGTTCATTCACAGCATATGCTGCGATCTTGTGTCACGGGAAAGCAGGTGTGTAAATTTCGTCAATACAATACGATAATTCTTCAGCATCACCGTGGTGGGCATTGTTCCGGCATCTTCTTGAAATTCTTAGTCCGTCCATTCTGAGAGCCGTTACTTATAATCTACACTGATTTTGCGAATGACTAAACGTTAGCACTCTACTAATAGAGTTCATTCCGAATCGATGATGCAAGCTATCTCGCTAGTCGATCACGGATCTTTCTTCATGCACATGAATAAAACTTCTATTACAAAAAGTTGTTTCCAACATGCTACAGTTACTCCCGTTTGTCACGAAATAGATTAAAATTTTCCTGAAAGTTTACTGTGTAGATCACGTGTGGATGAAAGTGATCTGGTGAATCCAGAAAAACAACAGTTCAATGAAAATCGTGTTCGGATTGTGTGAAATGGTATCCGATACAAAAAGAAAACCGGTGTTGAGTAATACCTCAGAAGCACAAAAAATTCAAAAGGACCAAAGAGCAACAGTGAAATCTGGCTTGGCGAGGCAAAACAGTGTAACTTCAAGCAGGTCTTTTAATAAGCGATTCACTGAGATGAATCGAAATTTTCGTTTGATTTGAGTGCGATCATTCCTCACAATCCGATAGCGTCCACTCAGCCTTTTCAAAAACCTCGCTTGATTGTTATTCAAGTGATCCAACAATCAAAAAACATAACGAACACTCTGAACCTCTACAAGCGACATTTGCTATATCGAAATCGGCTTTTGGAACAGTTATATCTCAGCAGACACTCGAGTGATCTCGGTCGTAAGAACAGATATCAAAAAGCTCAGGTGCTGCATAAGTCGGTGCGGTAGGATCTTCCTTATGAGTTGATGCGGATTCAAATTTCATTTGACAGCGAAGCTTATAATCGCAAATTAAGACTGATTTTTTTAGTGCAGCCGTGGAATTGATTCTGCTAATTATTATCCAGAATACTGCTCCCATTGGAATCCAAACCTCGACGAGAAAAAAAGCATAAAGCTCTATTCGGTGAAACGAGGTGTTCGGCGCTTTGAACCATAAGAGTGATCTGATGTATTATACCGTACTTGCTCGAAGAGCCAGTGGGTTGTCTCGCACAAACCACAGTCGCCGGCTCGTCATAAAGCTGTAAAATTTGCAGAGGTGGCTCGCAATTCGGCCTTGAAGTGATCGATTTTCTGATTGAGCCAATTTTTTTCCATTGCCTTTGCTTGAGACCGTGCGTAGATTAGGAATTTCGAAAGCGTTGTTATGGTTTTGGGGGTGCTCAACAGCCACCAATATGAAGGAAACAGGAATAGAAGGCTCAAATGTATTCTGTATATGTAGATGGCAAAGGAGGAGCGAAAGCTGATTGTGGAGGATATTAATTTGTCCCGAGTAATCCACGCGCGTTCCATTGCTTACTCTGCACTGGCTAACTGATTTCCTAATTTAATATGTGCATACATCTAAAGCATTCATTAGAGGCATCATTTTTGTCCACACAGCATATCTACCAAAGGTTACCTGGAACAGTCCTCTTCCATTGAAAAATGGTAATGGAGTTCCAAATACCCGCTTGAGCAGCATCTGCAACTTGCGTACCAGTGAGCCTTCTGGGTTATCGAGCTGAATTACAAAAGAAGTACTTTCCTACGCTGTCTACACAGAAAGAAGTGAAATCGAATTTCATGTTCCTCACCTGCCTATAGGTTTCAGTCTCACCGAACGTGTACATGGGAACCAATGAAGCACCACAATGGAAAGCCACTTTTATGAATCCTTTCCGGTGTAGCAGCTTTATTTTGTGTTCTCCTGGACGAGCCAGGATAGACTCTTCGACTCCACCTTAACCCTGCACTCTAATGACTAATTTTTATTTGCAGTTCTTGACACTTGCCTTAAAACAGTTGGCAATGCACTGTCATCTTGCTCAATTTCAGAATAGTGAGTACTAACAAGCAATCCAAACAGAGCAGTCAGCTTAGCTTACTTACCCACAATAATAACTACAGCTTGTCCGACTTCCCTCACCGAGAGAGCGTTCCTGATGCTTTTCTCGTCGCAGCCAATGAATCCGCCAGCAAGAAACCATTCTCTTCTAGGAATAG